GCCCTGCTTAGATGCTCCTGGTATTGCCTGTGGAGCAGATGAGCAGTAAACATGGCCCATGCTCGACGACTCCCCAGCGCAACATGCTCCTCTCTAGGCAGGGTCAGGCCGTGCAAAGGGCAGCACATTCCAGAGGGCTCCGTAACATGGTCACACACACTGGCTGCAGACCATACGATTGCAGTTGATGGAATGCAGGACACAGTATCGCCCTCTCCAAGGGGCACAGGGGTCAGCACTAGCTCAGACGGGAGAGCTCCTTCTACTGAGCCCCCCACCCTGCTCCCTGCAGCACAGCGCCCCCTAGCGCCACACTGGGGTATTGGGATCAGCACTGACTACCAGGGAGAGCGCTCCCTGCTCAGCCCCCCCACCGTGCCAGATTAAAGAATTTTGGGGCCCTGTGTGCACTATGGAAATAGTGGGGGAGTGTGTGACTGAAGGGGTTGGGTCTTATCCCTAGCAGGTGGGACGACCTAGGAGGGTATAGGAGAGTGATCCCACCCCACAGTTACTCCACATGTTGGCTCCTGCACCACGGGGCTGGCCTGTCTCCATGCTCTGGCTCATTGGCTCTAACCATTGTGCACCAGCGGGGGGGCCTCTGTTCCCATCCTGGTCCTGGCGTCATCGGCTCACCTGCCCCAAGCTGGACTGTCATGGGCCATATAAAATTATTTGGCAGGCTTTGTTCATTCCCTCCCCTCCCATGTGTGGACAGGCACCCCCTGAGATGAGGGTCCTGAGCAAGAGCACTGAGCACACATGAGTTAAACTGGTCCTGCCCCCACCAGCACAGCACTAGTATCAAACTGGGGCATCAAGAGCAGGATAGATTTGGAAGAGAGCGCCCCCTACTGAGCCATCACGTTGATAGTTGCAATGCAGCACCCCCATGCTGGGGCTGAATTAAAGGGAAGAGCATACCCTACTGTATCGGTGTACAGCGGGGCAGCCCATTTCAGAAAAGTGGCAACAGCAATGTCTTTTATGACAGAGGATCAGGCTGGGGGACACATCCACTCACAGCAATTTTCTTTAGGGACAGGAGTACATTAGGTCCTGAATTTTTTGCCTACGTGTGTGAGTATATGATCTTTATCTGGTATGAAAAACTCGAGTCCAATCGTCCGTCACCCTTGCTACTGGAGTAACACACAGAGAACTTGGCTGACATTTAGCAAAACTTTTTATTTCCCTCCAGGCCTACTTCCTTGTGAATTCACAACACCGTGGGTGATGTAATCAGTCAATTATTTCTCCGGGAAGACGGCAACCCTGCTTTAAATCCATTGCCTAAGGGTGGATTTTCCAGACAGCCTAGGTGATTTAGGGGCAAAGTCAATTTGACTGGGAAGGGCTTGTCTCCATGAAGAGTTAGTTCACAGCAAACTGAGGTGTAAATCTACCCCCCACTGCACACTAACTGTCTGTGAGGACACTGTTAATGTGTACTAACAGTTCCTTAGTGCACTTTGTCTTAGTGCACCTTAGACCCCGGCTGCCGAGGCCCTGCTGCAATTTTTAGGCACCAGCCCGATCAGAGATAGCATCTGTATGCCCTGGTCTACATTTAACATTTAGGTCAACCTAGCTACATTGCCCATGGATTTAAGCAGCACTATAGTTAAGCCAACCTAACTGCCGGTATAGATGAGGCTAGGTTAATGGAGGAATGGATGGTACATTATCTATGCCAACAGCAAAACCCCATAGTGTGGACAAGCCCTATGCCTACCCAAATTGGAAGCCACGCTGTGACGGGTTAGGTCACAGAGATCCCCTTGGGACTGTCAGTTGATGTGCTGAAATTACCTCTGAGCCCATTTTCCCTGCCACCTTGGGACTCCAGAACCCTGCCTTATTGAGCCAGACACACTAGCCTGCTGCAACACGGACCCAAGGTCTGGTCCACGGCCCCAAAGCTGCAGAATTTAACCAAAAGCTTCTCAGCAGGTCACCTATCTCCAGCACCCACACACCCAATTCCCAATGGGATCCAAACCCCAAATAAATTCATTTTACTCTGTATAATGCTTATATAGGGTAAATTCGTAAATTGTCCATCTTCTCTAACACTGAAAGACAGATATGCACAGCTGTTCGCTCCCCCAGGTATTAATCACTTACTCTTGGTTTATTAATAAACAAAAGTGATGTTATTATATATAAAAGTAGGATTTAAGTGGTTTCAAGTATTAACAGACAGAACAAAGCAAAATAAAGCAAAAACCTGCGAGTCTAAGCCTAATACATTAAGAAACTGGTTACAGGTAGTATCTCACCCTCAGAGATGTTCCAATAAGCTTCTTTCACAGACTAGACTCCCTCCTAGGTGGTAAGCAGGGTTTTTCTCATGAGTGGCCACCCCTTTGTCCTGCTCCACCCCCTTTTATAGCTTTGGCACAAGGCGGGAATCTTTTGTCTCTCTGGGTCCCCACCCCTCCTTCTAAATGGAAAAGTACCAGATTTAAGATGGATTCCAGCATCATGTGACACAGTCACATGTCCCTAGTCCCATTCTTCCTGGGTTGGGCCATAGGTACACAGGAAGGTTTGCAGATAAATAAACCATTTACAACCAATTGTCCTAGTCAATTGGAGCCATCGAGATTCTAAATCACCATTAATGGCTCACACTTTGCATAATTACAATAGGACCTTAGAGTTATACTTCATATTTCTAGCTTCAGATACAAGAATGATACATGCATGCAAATAGGAGGAATATATTCAGTAGTGTTAGAACCTTTGTTATGATACCTTACAAGAGACCTTTTGCATGAAGCATATTCTAGTTACATCATGTTCACACTCATAAGCATATTTCCATAAAACATATGGCGTGTAACATCTCACACCCCTCCCAGCAGCTGTGTAGACATACCCCTAGGGGCAGGAACTCTCTCTTACTCTGTGTTTGTACTGTGCCTCAGTCGCTGTTGGGATTTCGAGATGCTGCTGTAAAGCAAATAAACCGTGGTAACAAACTTGGTATAAAACCTCCTTGGGGATGTGGGAATCGCAGCCAGTGGGGTTTTAAATATTGACTGAATTAATCACATCAAACTTTTTGCCATTCACAGCTACTCCCTGATCACGCCCAACGTCCTGCGGGTGGAGAGTGAAGAGAAGGTCGTGGTGGAAGCCCATGGCCTCAATGCCCCAATTGCAGTTACAGTCACCGTACTGGACTTCCTGCTTAAGCAACACATCTTATACCAGGTCCAAACCAACCTCAACCCTGCGAATGGGATGATGGGCACAGCCGTAATAAAGGTGGGTAAAACCCCAGCCTCAGGTCATCCAGTGACACAAAGGGTATCATTTTCAACAGTGTCCCGCTCATTTTAGGAGCCTCCAATATTTTCGCTCCCCAACTCTGCAATACCGAGATGTTGAGACCCCGCCCAGGTTGGATGTCGTTCTAGAAGAGACACTCTAGTTCAGCATGAAGTTATGAGCTGGAATTGCTGGGTGAAAGTCTATGGCCTGTGTTATGCATAGGTCCCTACCAAATTCACGGCTGTGAAAAACGCATCACGGACCGTGAAATCAGACCTCCTCTGTGAAAGTTAGCTATTGGAGGGGAGGATAAGGGGCAGGGTTGGGGCTCTGACCATGCCCCTGGCTCCAGCTGTTAGTCCCCTCAGGGCTTGGGAGGGACAGGACTTACTCTTTCCTTCATAGCTGCTCTCTGGGGGAGATGAGACCCAGCAGCAGCCCCAGAGCTTTGTGCAGCCGCAGGAGGTTCCCAGAGGTGGAGGTGGGTCCGATCTCCCCCATACTGCTGGGAACGCCCCAGCCAGGGGAGGTACACAGAGGTGGGTCTGATCTGCCCCTGAGGGCTGTGCAGGGGAGAAGGAAGTCCTGTCCCTCCCCAGCCCGGCTGGGACTAGCAGCTAGGAACCCCTGGCTGGGGCGTTCCAGCAGCAAGCAGGGAGATCAGACCCACCTCCACCTCTGGGAACCTCCTGTGGCTGCAGAAAGCTGAAGGCAGTGCAGAAGTGAGAGTGGCAATCCTGTGACCCCCCACAACAGGTTTGTGACCCCCCCTCCCCCATGAATCCCTTTTGGGTCAGTATCCTCACAGTTACAACACCCTGAAATTTCAGATGTAAACATCTGAGAACATGAAATTGACTAATTTTCAAATCCTAGGGCCATGAAATTGACCAGAATGGACTATGAATTTTGTTGTGCTCTAGTTATACAGGAGGTCAGACTAGCTGATCGTATTGATCCCTTCTGGCTGTAACATCTACGAATCTATTAGTGACGTGGGACTCTCTTGTTGTGGACCTAAAAACGGAGGTGCCCCAAATTAGGAGGTAGAAGAAAAAGTTGAGAGTAAGGATGGTGGGGTTCCCTGGTGGAGCAGGATTCTCGTTTTGAGTTGATCCAAAGTCCTGGCCAGGAATGGAGAGTTGGGGGGACAGGGGTAAGGTCTCCAAGATGGTACAGTTTTAGGGGAGCACAGTATGAATAGTCGGGAGCACATCAGTGCAGTAGAACTGACTTCAGCAGGGCACCCATGCGATGGCCTTTGGTTAACAAACATTCCACATAACAGGAGGTGACAGGACAATGGGTACAGGGCCATCCAAATGGTCTGTCCTGACTCACTGGTGGTGACCTACACTGACTGTACCATCCTGGGAATCCCCCTCCACCTAGGGTATTCCCCAATGAGGAGACCCACCATCTTATGGCAGCTGTGTAAGCTGCTTGAGGAACTGCATGTACAGCGGGTTAGTAAAAGGCTGTGGTTTCTTATGGATTCTTTCCATGTATAATGGCATAATGAGTGGGGTCCCGCAGGGATCGATTCTGGGTCCAGTTCTGTTCAATATCTTTGTTAGGGTTCCCTCCCCACTCTGAACTTTGGGGTACAGATGTGGGGACCTGCATGAAAGACCCCCTAAGCTTATTTTTACCAGCTTAGGTTAAAAACTTCCCCAAGGCACAAATTCCCTTCTTCGTCCTTGGACGGTATTGCTGCCACCACCAAGTGATTACACAAAAATTCAGGAAAGCGTCACTTGGGGTCTCTATTCCCCCAAAATATCCCCCCAAGCCCCTTCACCCCCTTTCCTGGGGGGGCTTGAGAATAATATACCAACCAATAGGTTAACAAAGTGAGCACAGACCAAACCCTCTGGTTTTTAGGACACTAAAAATCGATCAGGTTTTTAAAAGAACTTTATTATAAAGAAAAAAGTAAAAGAATCACACCTGCAAAATCAGGATGGAAGGTAACTTTACAGGGTAATAAAAAGATTTAAAACACAGAGGACTTCCCTTTGGACTCAGCTTCACAGTTACAAAACAGGAATAAAACTCCCTCTTAGCTTAGGGAAAATTCACGAATTAAAACAAAAGATAATCTAATGCATTTCCTTGCCTTGCTTGCAATTTTTTGTCATCTTAGATGGGTCATTTTAGATATGTTTTCAGGAGATGTTTTACCTGTCTGATCTTTCTCTCCGTCCGGAGAGGGGACAACAAAGAGAGCACAAACAACCTCCCTGCCCCACCCCCCGCATATTTGAAAGTATCTTCTTTCCTCATTGGCCCTTCTGGTCAGGTACCAACTAGGTTGTATGAACTTCTTTATCCCTTACAGGTAAAGTGATTTAGAACAGCTTCCCAGGAGGGATTTTATGTTACCCTTATTTGTATGTTTATGACAATCTTCATCAATGATTTAGATAATGGATAGGATTAAAATTCAAAATGATCTGGACAAACTGGAGAAATGGTCTGAAGTAAATAGGATGAAATTCAATAAGGACAAATGCAAAGTAGTCCACTTTGGAAGGAACAATCAGTTGCACACGTACAAAATGGGAAATGACTGCCTAGGAAGGAGTACTGTGGAAAGGGATCTGGGGGTCATAATGGATCACAAGCTAAATATGAGTAAACAGTGTAACACAGTTGCAAAAAAACTAACATCATTCTGTGATGTATTAGCAGGAGTATTGTAAGCAAGACATGAGAAGTGATTCTTCTGCTCTACTCCACAATGTGATTAGGCCTCCATTTGCGTATTGTATCCAGTTCTGGGCGCCACATTTCAGGAAAGATGTGGACAAATTGGAGAAAGTCCAAAGAAGAGCAACAAAAATGATTAAAGGTCTAGAAAACATGACCTATGAGGGAAGATTGAAAAAAATGGGTTTGTTTAGTCTGGAGAAGAGAAGACTAAGAGGGGACACATGATAACAGTTTTCCAGTAGATAAAAGGTTGTTACAAGGAAGAGGGAGAAAAATTGTTCTTCTTAACCTCTGAGGATAAGACAAGAAGCAATGGGCTTAAATTGAAGCAAGGGCGGTTTAGGTTGGACATAAGAAAAAACTTCCTGTCAGAGCAGTTAAGCACTGGAATAAATTACCTAGGGAGGTTGTGGAATCCCCATCATTTGGGATTTTTAAGAGCAGGTTGAACAAACACCTGTCAGGGATGGTCTAGATAATACTTACTCCTGCCTTGAGTGCAGAGGACTGGACTAGATGACCTCTCGAGGTCCCTTTCAAGTCTATGATTCTGTGATTTTATAACTTAAGCATCATTAACACTGCAAAGGTCTTTTGCGTAGAGCATCGCTTGTGGTGGTGAGTAAAAGCAGGAAGAACTCATCCATGCTCTTCTTCTCATGCAGATTCCCACCAAAAACATAACAAAAGATTCCAAACAAAACCAGTATGTTGTGGTCCAGGCTAAGTTCCCTCAGCAAACCCTGGAGAAAGTGGTTCTGGTCCATTTCCACAGTGGATACATCTTTATCCAGACGGATAAAACCATCTATACACCCGGGTCTACAGGTACTGCCTTCCTCTGGTCTCTTCTAATGGGAGGGGGTGGGAGCTGCTGATGTCATGCCATATCTACAGCAGGACTGCGGGGTCCATCCTGTGCATATAGCTTTGCTTGTTATCTGGTTGAAGATGGAGGACAGTTGGATCAGAGACTCTGCCACCACCAATTTGCAATATTTCACCCTTCACCATTGTCCTAGCTGGAATGTCCCATTGAGTGTTAGATACCAAAAGACTGGGTGGGCCATGGGATTGAGAATGGGCGATGGAATTTTTCAAATCCCAGTGACTAGTTCTGCTCCATCTTGTACCGAGATACATGTCCCCATCTGACGACCGTCCCAAAGCCTGTGTGAAATAGGGGCTGCTAATCCCAGCCCATTCAGAGCAGGACAGGTCCCTGCAATGACAAAGCACTCCCACCTGGTACTTAGGGACAGGGGAGAAAAGCAAGACAATGCCCTAAAGAAAAAAGCTATGGAGATCTCCGACTGTAGAAAGAGGCTATCGTGAAACAACCCCTCTGTGGGGTCAGACACCAAACTCCAGTTGGTTTCAATCAGACTTAGACACCTAAGTAGCTTTGAGGATCTGGGCCAAGGTGTCTATTAGTTAACGACATCCCGCTCTTCTCTCTTTATTTTCTCAGTCCTCTACCGGATCTTCACCGTGGGTCACAAACTGGAACCGGTGTCTAAGGGAGTGATTGTGGAGTTTGAGGTGAGGTCGCTGTTCTGAGTGAGCCCATGGTGGGATAGGTGGGTTTAGCCACTTGTTGGGTAACGCGCAGCAATTTATTGTGACTGAGGAGGCTGCATAGAACCCCTGTGTGTAGCAGCAACATGGTGCAGCCAGGAGCAAAGCAAATGATTGTCTGAGGTCTCTCCTTGAAAACCTCTGGCATCCAAATTCTCCCCCAGTCATTAAGGAGGTTACAAAGTTTGCAGGGGCAGCAGCCAGGCAGCTCTCAGTGGAAGCCCTGCGGTTCTGCAATGGTGTTAACGCTTGAGGAAAGTTGCATGGAGTTCTTTGTGAAGAGCCAGGCAGGTGCTTGTCTGGGAAGGCTGAAGACAAGGAGCCACTGCAAGGAGCCCTTTGAAGGATGTGTAAACTGGTGGCAGGAACAGGGCTTATAGCTCCAGGCGTTAGTCCTGTTAAGGCCCTTTCCACTGGGCTTTATGATCCATAAAATAAAGTAAATCAGCTGCAAAACCCTGGGCAATAATCCCCAGGGGTTTTCCTCACCTCAGCCAGCTGAGAGGGGAGAGAACACATCTGTCCCTTCAGTTCCTCTTTGACTCAGTTTCCCCTTTCTTTGACACTCTGCCCTGAGCAGCAGCATAACCAGCTGGGACCTTGTGATGGGGAGCAGCTGTGGTTGGCAGAGCGACGCAGCCCTTTGGGCAGCTCCAAGGTTTGCATATAGCTCAGGGTTAAGCCTGGCGTCTGCAAGAGTCTGCCGTGGAGGCTCTTAAGTCTTCCGAGCTGCTTCCTTGAGTTCTTTAGTGGCTTTGCTGAGCCATCTCAGAAGGTCAGGAGAGATTTGTCAGTTTTTTCCAGTGTCTCTGGATAGTTAAGAAATTCCAACAAATCAGTGGAGTCCAGATTGTTACATGCTATTGTTGGAAGTATGGAGAACCCTCCACTGGCCCAGGAATGTAAACGTGGCAGATGATGTTGTTAAGAGCAATTGACAGCATTTTTCTCCCTAAACTCTTAACTTGTTTCCTTTCCAGACCCCTGAGTCCATTATTGTCAAGCAGATTCCCATCTCTGCCCACTTTAAATCAGGCATTTCCTCCCTGAGCCACAACTTGCCGGAGATTATCAGGTAGATTGTCCTGATGTTACTATGCCTGGACAGAGCAGAGCTTTGCAGGAGTTGGGAAGGGAAGCAGAAGAGATGATGTGGAGCTAGTTACTGTGTGTGGCCCATCAGCTAGATCATCTCCTACAGGCATTTCCAAGTGACGTGGAGAAAACAAACTCTCCTGCCACATACCCAGTCTTGGCATAATTTGATTTGTATTTGTTATAGTTTCGATGGATAATCATGTTTATTTGTAAGCCTTTTTTCCAGTTTCGATCACTTCAAATTCTCATTTGTGCAAAATTAAATTATGGGTTTTTATCGTCTCCCATTCTGAGTTTTAGCACTTTCAATTTTCACAGGTGGGGGAAAACATGGGGGCCAGACAATGGTGGCAGAGTCTGACAATAATTATTTAATGACAGTAGACACTGAGATTCAAAAAAGCTAAAGCTTTATAGCCATTAAAACACAAATTGTCAGCATCGTATGTCCAAATACACAAAGTATAAAGCCTTAAATCAAACTGTCGTAAGTTCTCAAGCAGCATTTTTCTTGCTTTGCCTATCTGTAAATTTCGATATTATCGATGGAAATGTGTTTTTGTCGGTATGCGTGTGCACGGTGAAATCAATGACACGTATCGATAAAAAACTAATCTTTCCAAGTCTACGCAGACACCAGAATGAAGCTGCACTGTCTTCCTTGCCATTACTCCTGATTTATTCCAGAGTATGTGAAGGCAGGATTAGGCCCTGTTGGCCTGTTTTTCAAAAGTGGTGAGCACCCTACCTCCCATTCTCTGGGATTTATGAATGCTCAACTACTCTGAAAACTACGTCAGTGAGCTGGTGAGTGAGGGGCCAGATTTTTGTATGGATCAGAGTTTCCTTACGTTTGCCGTTGTTTGGATTGAGGGTTTTGGTCCAGGCAGACTGTAGAAACAAGTGCCGGCCACAAAGTTTAGATCCAAATTTCTCAAACCTTGCTGGCCAAAGGTTGAGGGGGTTGTGGATCAAATGTTTTGTTCCAAGTCCCTACCTTTAGTTCTGGTTCATGAAAACATCAAGGTGCAGAAAAAAATGATTTGTATGAGGCTCCCCATGGTTTCCTGAAGACGGCTTGAGTTCCATGTATGGCTCAGATTTAGCTTTAGGAACCTATAAAATTACCAGAGAAACAAGTGAGCCAGGTGGGCCTTGCGAAATGTGCGTGTTAAGTGCATTCAGTGTTCCTTCTTATTTCCTTCCTCTAGTCTGGGAACCTGGAAGATCACGGCCAGGTATGAAGACTCCCCTCAGCAGACCTTCAGTGCGCAATTTGATGTTAGGGAGGACGGTAAGAATCCAGCACCCACCTGGCCCAGGCTCAGGGAACGGGTCTGTCTCTACTCTCCTGACACCATCTTGGAGCAGACTCTCCATTCGGCTGGCTTTGCTGGCAACACACCCTCTCCTACAAGCTCAATGTTCTCCTCTTCTCCTCTCGTTTCTCCAGTGTTGCCGAGTTTCGAAGTCATATTGGAACCGTCTGAGAAGTTTTTATACATCGATGGCAATGAAGACTTCAGGGTTTCTATCACTGCGAGGTGAGTCTGTGAGAGGGTGGAAGGGATCAGCTGAGTGGGGTATCAACCACAGGTTTTAGTGCAGAAAGAAACCTAAATCTTGCATCACTTTGGGAATGTTTTCCACTCAATGTTTTTTTTTCTTCCATGAAGAGTCTCCATTTCCAATAGAAAATTCTGATTTTTTTTTCCATCCAAAAACCAATTTCCAAAAATGGAAAAAAAAAAAGGCAGAATATCTTGTGATTCAGAAATGCTGGCGCGGTGCCTCATGGGAGTTGCCATTCGGGTGCTTCATTCTTCATTCTTCTCCATGGGCTGGGCTTGCCAGCTGGACTTAAACTCCCATAATGCACCGTAGCCATGATGGTCCACTTCTCCTTACCGTAGTGGATCATGGGAGATATAGACCGACCAAGGAGCTGGGCCTATTGAGGAGAATGGTGGCATGAGGCCATAATATTCAGCAATAGGTTTCCTTGTGGCTTCTCTTACCCATCCTTATCTCCTCCAGGTACCTATATGGGAAAAAACTAGATGGCAATGCCTTTGTCCTCTTTGGGGTGAAGATGGATGATGAGAAGAGGAGTATCCCGCAGTCTCTCAAGAGAATCTCGGTAATTCCTGTTTTCGGCTGGGGAGTATTCACACCTCCTGGGGAACTGCGTGGGTGAGGTCATGAAACTCTCTCTCTCTTTCTAGATAGAAGATGGAGAAGGGAAAGCAACGCTGACCAGAGCGATGCTGCGGGCTCGGTTCGCTAACCTGAACGAACTGGTTGGCCACTCGCTCTACATCTCTGTCACCGTTTTGACAGAATCTGGTGAGCATCAGCAATAAGTGCACGGCCAAGTGCTTTATTCCCGGGGTGTTCCAAACCGGTGCCGAGTGCAGTTCAAGGTGTTGAACTGCGTAGGGTTCTGCAGATCTTAAAGGCTGCAGGCCAGATTCTTGTCTCATTCGCTCTGGGGTAAACCTGGTGTGAGGGTTGCTCCCCCCTCCGGGGTGCCACCTGATCTATTGGGGTACCACTGAGCCTGCCTGTTCCACCATCCTGGGCTCCCTTACACTGTCCGGCTGAGCCAGGCCCTCTCAAGCCTCCTCCAGCACAGACACAGGTAGGGACACGCCCAGCTGGAGAAAGACAGACACTGAAATCATAGAATCATAGATTCTTCTTCAAGTGCTATCCCTGTGGGTGCTCCGCTCCAGGTGACGATGCGTCCCGGCACCGTTGATCGGAGATCTTCGGTAGCAGTGCCTGGTCAGGACGCACATGCTCAGCTGCTGTCTTGTGGCGCTGTTAGGGTCTGTCCAAGCGCACATGTCCTGCACCCCCCTCAGTTCCTTCGCAACCGTCCCCGGCTGAAGACGGGACTCAGGGCAGTGCTGAAGCTCTTCCCTGGTCACTGAAAGTAAAAAGAGGTAGAAATAGTTAGACAGAAATATCCCAGTTCTCTCCCTTCCTTTAGAATAGTTTGTTAGTTAAAAAAAAAAAGTTTCTCTCTCACGTTCGTCTTCCGTTGAGTCTTTCCCCCCAGGCAATCATAGCTCAATGATGCCGGGGTCCCCGGGCTTTAAGAAATGCGACTCTTGCAAGGAGCCTATGCCATGGTCTGACGGACACTCACGGTGTGTGAAGTGCCTCAGCGAGACACACGTCCCTGCTAAGTGTCTCCATTGTACCAACCTGAAAACCAGGGCTCATCGTGACAGGGACTTGCGGCTAAAAATGCTCCTGATGGAGAAATCTCTGCAGCCGCCTATGGAGATGGGCACGAGTAAACCCTCTTTCTCACGCTCCCCTGCCAGGTCAGAACCGATCGGGAGTGTGGCTTCACCCTCTCAAGCAAAGAGGCAGGATGCCCCAATGTCTCCACACAGAGACTTTCAAAAGGGTAAAGAGTCTCCTGCGAGATCTTTATCCTTGGTGCTGACAGCGCCAAAAGCAGGCACCTCCGACTGCCCCAGCACCTCAGCCGCGGCTCACGCGGGATGCAAAAGCAGGGAACCGACTTCCCACAGCGGGAAGCTCTCCTCGGCACCGGTCCTACCGGCATCGGAGATGAAGCCGGTACCGGCAGCATGTTCGGCACCGAGCCTGCCCATCACCCCTGCAGCAGACGTGGACCCCCTGCAGGGTGCCTATAAATGGCCCGCAGCCCCTGTGAAAGCTAAACAAAAGTCACTGCGGGCTTCCACTCACACTCCACGCCCCGCAGGAACACAGCCCATGGAGCAGCAGGCAGAGTTCTCCCCGCCTGATTCTCCTCCACTGGAACCATATAAATCTCAAGGCATGGCACCTCACAAGAACCAGCCTCAGTTTCCCTACTTTGTCCCCCCGTGGGTGGGACCTCACTTTTCTTACCCTATGCCTTTGCCTCAATGGTACCTTTGGTCCATTCCTGCTGCCACTCCTCCTCCACCAGACCACAAACCCGTTCTGCGCCTCTGTCTCCAGCTCCATCTACATCTAGTGCTCCTGAACCCCCTCTTGAAGAGGTGGGCTATAAACCCTTACCTGATTCACCGGCTCCTAACTCTCCATCAGCTGCAGAGGACACCCTCATGCCTCCACCTCCACAAAACGTGGACGACTTTAAGCAATTCCAGGAACTTTTCAAGAGGGTGACACTCAGCCAGGGCATTCCTTTGGAGGAAGTACAGGAGACACAACACAGACTCCTCAAAATCCTCCAACCCTCTGCATCCTCAAAGATCGCGCTACCCATAAACAAAGCCCTCCTAGAACCAGCTGACATTCTCTGGCAGACCCCTGCCTCCATCCCACCAACATGCAAAAAGGCTGAACGAAAATATTATGTTCCCACCAAGGATGTAGACTTCTTATTTTCCCACCCACAACCAAATTCTCTTGTAGTGGATGCAGCGACACACAGAACAAAACAGCCACAATACCGGCCCACTCCGCAAGACAAGATTCTCAAACGACTTGACCTCCTGGGCTGCAAGGTTTATACCTCCTCCACTTTGCAATTTAGAATTGCAAATTACTCCGCCCTCCTCGCAAGCTATGACTACGACAACTGCAACAAGCTCTTTGATTTTACCTCCCATATCCCGGAGGACAGGAGAGCGGACTTTAAGTCAATTCTTGTCGAAGGTCAATTGGTGTTCAGGACGGCGCTACAATGATCCCTGGACATGACAGACACAGCAGCCCGCACTACCGCAACTGCAGTGGTGATGCGCATGTCTTTCTGTCTGTCTGCATCCGGTATACCCAAAGATCTGCAGACCAAAGTGGAGGACCTTCCCTTTGACAAAGATAAACTTTTTTCTAAAAAAACTGACAAAGTCCTTCACACGATAAAAGACTCTAGGGCCACCCTGCGCACACTTGGCATATACCCGTCCCTCTCCAGGAGACAACGGTATCAACCTTATCAGAGGCCCCACACACAACAATATCACTGGCCCCAGTCCAGACCATATGATATTGGAAGGAACTGCAACAGACCTCCTAGACACAGACAAAACCATGCGCAACCAGCCACCTCCCACCCATTGGGAAACAAACAGCAATTCTGAAGTGTTGATTGGAGGTCTGCACGACCACCTCTTGACTCCGCTGCCTATTTGCCCATTTGGCCACCACCTCCAGTTTTTCCACCATGTATGGCAACAGGTCATACAGGACCACTGGGTCCTGGAAATAGTTCAATCAGGTTACTCCAGCCCTTTCATCTCCTGCCTGCCCACCCTTCTCCCTTCCCTGTCCCTCTTCAGGGACCCCTCTCACGAGCACCTACTTCACATAGAAGTGGCTCATCTTCTACACCTAGGTGAAGTGGAACAAGTACCAACGTAACATTGGGGAAAAGGGTTCTACTCTCACTACTTTCTGACCCAAAAGAAAGATGGGGGATGGAGACCTATACTAGACCTACTCCGACTGAACAAATTTGTACATGTACAGAAATTCAGGATGGTCACATTGGGCACAATAATACCCGGGCTGGAACAAGGGGACTGGTTCACAGCCCTCAACCTACAAGATGCCTATTTTCACATATTCATATTCACATATTCATTCATCCAGCACACAGACGCTTCCTGCAATTCACACTCAGACACGACCACTTTCAATACAGAGTACTCCCATTCGGACTCTCCACGGCACCGAGAGTATTCTCCAAGACCCTAGCCGTAGTCGTGGCCCACCTCCGCAAACACGGGATTATACCTTCCCCTACCTAGACGACTGCCTTATCAAAGGCGGCTCATACGACGAGATATTAAAAGCGACGTGTCTTACCATCTTCCTCTTCCACAGTCTAGGCCTGCAAATAAACTTCCAAAAATTCACCTTGATACCCACACAACAGATCGAGTTCATCAGAGCTCACCTGGTGCCCAGGCCAACCCTATGGACGCTGCTAAGGGAAAAATCTTCCGGCGGGCGTGCACGCATCGTGCACACACCTGATTGGATGGACATGAACAACACATCTCGAAGAACAACAGTTACGAGACGCTGAATAACCATTTTTTTCTAAGAGCTCCGGGTCAGCTCTTAGGGATGGTCTAGGCATACTTACTCCTGCCTCAGTGTGGGGGATGGACTAGATGACTTCTTGAGCTCCCTTCCAGCTCTACATAGCTATGATTTCTAAACTTTCCCTGCAGAGGGAGCAGCCATTCTGTTCCGAGCAGTTGTAGCTTGTTACAGATGAAACTAGTAGCTGAAAGCCTGTGCTGTTGCACGGGTCTGGTAATTGGACCAAGTAATCCAAACAACCAATGACATTACTGTAACGATGCTGCCTATGGTGGGACACTTCAGTGAGTATCAATTCAGGACAAATTGCTTAGAGCAGGGCAGTTAAAGCCCAAGGCTGGGGTTTCTCCACTTCTAAGGCACACCAAACCAGCCAGCCAGTGAGGACTTTGGTTTTACCCCACTGGCTAACCATAAGTCATACAAGCAATTCCCTTAGACACTCCAGTTTCCCAATATCACCACCAGTGCCACTCGTTATGGGGACGAATGGTTATGAAAACCAATACCCCAGTAAAAGAAAAAAGGTTCTCTCGATCCCAAAGGACCAAGCCCCAGACCCAGGTCAATATACAAATCAGATCTTACCCAGAAATCATGCTATTGCCAATCCTTTAGAATCTAAAATCTAAAGGTTTATTCATAAAAAGAAAGAAATATAAATGAGAGCTAAAATTGGTTAAATGGAATCAATTACATACAGTAATGGAATAAACTGCAGGTTCAAATCAAGTCTCTGGAGTACATCCACAGCTGGGATGGGTCATTCAGTCCTTTGTTCAGAGCTTCAGTTTGTAGCAAGGTTCCTCCAGAAGTAAGAAGCAGACAAGATAGAGGGGTTTTCAGGGCCTTTTATATTCTCTGCCCGTGGAAGGACACCCCTTTGTTCTTACTGTGGAAAATCACAGCAGCAAGATGGAGGCTGGAGTCACATGGGCAAGTCACATGTCCATGCATGACTCAGTTTGCAGGCTGACGCCATTGTTTACATGTAAGTTTGAACATTCCCAGGAAAGCTCAGATGGGGATTGGCGTGTCCCAAAGTCCATTGTCAGTTAAGTGTTTCTTGATTGGGCACTTACTGAGAATAGTCCTTTCTCAAGAAGCTGACCAAATGCTTCACTGAGGCTACTTGGAATCAAATACATTTGAGATACAAGTACATAGCCTTCAGAGTAGCAGCCGTGTTAGTCTGTATCCGCAAAAAGAACAGGAGTACTTGTTAGTCTTTAAGGTGCCACAAGTACTCAAGTACATAGCCCATATTCATAACTTCAAATACAAAAGTGATACACACATACAGCTAGCATAATTGTAACCAGCAATCATAACCTCTTCATAGACACCTCACACAACAACCTTTGTACAATATTTGCTGCAAATATATAACAATGGTTGCAACAATGATCTATACGGTCACAGTTTATGTCAATAACGTCACAATTACTACATGCAAATTAGTTGTAGAGTAAAGGTGGTGATTGGTTGGTTGAGTTGTGTCTGATATCACAATGGTCTAGGACTCTTGGCACAGCACATGCCTTACTGGAGCTATACACCAGGCTAGTAAAGTCAGAATGGCTGGGGACTTAAAAATTGGCCGGTAACAGATTGCAAATCCCGGTGATGATTGAAGCTGGTGATATTGTAACTAAAAAGAGCCCTTCTCTTGCTTATATAGCTGCTTCCATCACTAAACACAGTCTCAACAGACGTTCTAGGCTTCACAGTGGTACATGGACAGAGTGACAATCCTGGAATCTTATTATATAGATACACACAAACTGTGCTCTCTCTCTCTCCCAGAGACTTTGTTTTTGTTCTTTCTTG